ACAGTGAAACCTGGTATCTACTTAATCCTAACACTTTGGGAGGCCGAGGCAGGCGGATCACAAGGCCATACTGGTTAACACGGTGAAACCCCATCTCAACTAAAAATCCAAAAATTAGCCGGGCGTAGTGGCGGGCGCCTGTAGTCCCAGCTACTTGGGAGGCTGAGGCAGGAGAATGGCGTGAACCCGGGAGGCAGAGCTTGCAGTGAGCTGAGATCGCCCCACTGCACTCCAGCATGGGTGACAGAGCGAGACTCCGTCTCAAAAAAAAAAAATACAAAAAAGGCCAGGGGCAGTGGCTCAAGCTTGTAATCCCAGCACTTTGGGAGGCTGAGGGCTGGGGGCGGGGGGGCAGATCACCTGAGGTCACGAGTTCGAGACCAGCCTGGCCAACATGGCGAAACCTTGTCTCTAATTAAAATACAAAAAGTAGCCAAGTGTGGTAGTGGGTGCCTGTAATCCCAGCTACTCAGGAGGCAGAGGCAGGAGAATCACTTGAGCCTGGGAGGTGGAGGTTGCAGTGAGCCAAGACCGTGCCACTGTACTCCAGCCTGGGCAACAGAGTGAGACTCCGTATCAAAATATAAATTAAAAAATATAAATAAATATAAAAACACAAAAAAGCCAGGCATAGTGGCTCATGCCTGTAATCCCAGCACTTTGGGAGGCCGAGGTGGGCAGATGACTTGAGTCAGGAGTTCCAGACCAGCCTGGCCAACATGGCGAAACCCTGTCTCTACTAAAAATACAAAAATTAGCTGGGTTTGGTGGCTTACACTTGTAATCCCCACTACTTGGGAGGCTGAGGCAGAAGAATCGCTTCAACCCGGGAGGCAGAGGTTGCAGTGAGTAGAGATCGTGCCATTGCCCTCCAGCCTGGGCAACAAGAGTGAAACTCCATCTCAAAAAAAAAAAAAAAAAGAATACAAAAAATCAGTGGGCTATGGTGGCGCATGCCTGTAATCTAGGCTACTCAGGAGGCTGAGGCAGGAGAATCGCTTGAACCTGAAAGGTGAAGATTACAGTGAGCTGAGATCGTACCACTGCACTCCAGCCTGGGTGACAAGAGTGAGAATCCGTATCAGAAAAAAAAAAAAAAACAAACTTCTATTTGGGGGACCAAAAAAAAAAAAAAACCAAAAATGGAACAGAAGGGATTTAAGGAAATTGAAAGTCAACAGGCTAATAATGCCAATAAACAATGATGGAGCAAAGAAATCCGTGTTGGCCAAATAACAGCAATGTGTTTTTTAATATTTTTTTGAAATTTAGACAAAGTTTTCCAGTACACTGAGACACTTCTACTATCAAGACTGTAATAGTGGCTGAGCACACTGGCTTATGCCTATAATCCCAGCACTTTGGGATGCCAAGGCAGGAGGATCGCTTTAGCCCAGAAGTTCAAGTCAAGCCTGCAAAAATAGTATAAAATAAAATAAAAGGCCGGGCGCGGTGGCTCAAGCCTGTAATCCCAGCACTTTGGGAGGCCGAGACGGGCGGATCACGAGGTCGGGAGATCGAGATCATCCTGGCTAACACGGTGAAACCCCGTCTCTACTAAAAAAAATACAAAAAACTAGCCGGGCGAGGTGGCGGGCGCCTGTAGTCCCAGCTACTCGGGAGGCTGAGGCAGGAGAATGGCGTGAACCCGGGAGGCGGAGCTTGCAGTGAGCTGAGATCCGGCCACTGCACTCCAGCCTGGGCGACAGAGCAAGACTCCGTCTCAAAAATAAATAAATAAATAAATAAATAAATAAATAAATAAAAAAGCCAGGTATGGTGGTGTACATCTGTGAGCTGTGACTACCCTGCTGCACTCTAGCCTGGGTGACAGAGCAAGACCCTGTCTCAACAACAACAACAACAACAAAACTATAATAAAGAATAAATGACATTCAGGTAAGTGGAATATTAGGTGTTCAATAAACATACGTTATTCCCTCCCTATTTCCATAGACTCATCAATTTTATTTTATTTTATGTTTTTTTTTGAGATGGAGTCTCACTCTGTCGCCCAGGCTGGAGTGCAGTGGCGTGATCTCAGCTCGCTGCAAGCTCCACCTCCTGGGTTCACGCCATTCTCCTGCCTCAGTCTCCCGAGTAGCTGGGACTACAGGCGCCCGCCACCACGCCTGGCTAATTTTTTTTTTTTTTTTTAGTAGAGACGTGGTTTCACCACGTTAGCCAGGATGGTCTCAATCTCCTGACCTTGTGATCCACCCACCTCAGCCTCCCAAAGTGCTGGGATTACAGGCATGAGCCACCGCGCCCCGCCGAATCAATTTTTTTTAAAGAGAAATTTTGATTAGAATCTTTAAAAATATCAATACTTCTCTTTCCAAAAAAGGAGGATTTAAATGTAACAATTTCTTGAGTATTTCTATTTATTTTCATTGTTGCTTAATATTACTCATAATAATGAAAATGTATTTGCTCTCTTTCAAACACAGTTTTAATTAGTTGCACAGTATGCCACCTTATAGCCTGATGTACTTCAAATTTCCCTACCTATGAAAGCTAAGTTTGGATATTATCATCTCAAGTATATTATAATCTCTGTCTTTAAATCTATCTAGGGTTCTACCTTTTCTGTAACCCTTAGTGAATCTCACTATAGTCCTCCTTCCCTTTAAAAATGCAGTGATAGGCTGGGTGCGGTGGCTCTTCCTTGTAATCCCAGCACTTTGGGAGGCTCAGGTGGGAAGATTGCTGGAGCTCAGGAGTTCAAGATCAGACTGGGCAACATGACGAAACCCTGTCTGTGCAAAAAATACAAATTTTAGCCCAGCATGGTGCCATATGCCTGTAACTCAGCTCCTTGGGAGGCTGAGGTGCGAGGATCCCTTCAGCCCCGGAGGTCAAGGCTGTAGTATGCCACTATCCTGCCACTGCACTCCAGTCTGGGTAATAGACTGAGACCCTGTCTTAAAAAAAAGGCCGGGTTGGCCGGGCGCGGTGGCTCAAGCCTGTAATCCCAGCACTTTGGGAGGCCGAGACGGGCGGATCACGAGGTCAGGAGATCAAGACCATCCTGGCTAACACAGTGAAACCCCGTCTCTACTAAAAAAAAATACAAAAAAATAGCCGGGCGAAGTGGCGGGCGCCTGTAGTCCCTGCGACTCGGGAGGCTGAGGCAGGAGAATGGCGCAAACCCGGGAGGCGGAGCTTGCAGTGAGCTGAGATCCGGCCACTGCACTCCAGCCTGCGCGACAGCGCGAGACTCCGTCTCAAAAAAAAAAAAAAAAAAAAGGCCGGGTGTGGCGGCTCACACCTGTAATCCCAGCACTTTGGGAGGCCAAAGTGGGTGGATCACCTGAGATCAGGAGTTCATGACTGGCCTGGCCAACATGGTAAAACCCTGTAAAAAATTGGTTGGGTGCGGTGGTGGACACCTGTAATCCCAGCTACTCAGGAAGATGAAACAGGAGAATCACTTGAACCTGGGAGGCAGAGGCTGCAGTGGGCAGAGTGAGACTCTGTCTCAGAAAAAAAAAAAAAAAAGAAAAAGAAAAAAAAGAAAAAAGAAAAAAAAAGGAAAAAAGAAAAGAGAAAATCAGTGATAGGTGAGGTAGCTCATCCCTGTAATCCTAGCACTTTGGAGGCAGAGGTGGGAGGATCACTTGAACTCAGGAGTTCAAGACCAGTCCAGGCAACATAGTGAGTCTTCTTCTCTACTGAAAATTATTTTTAATTATGCCAGAGTGCTGGTGTGTACCTCTGGTTTCAGCTTATTTGGCAGGCTGAGGTAGGAGAATCACTTGAGCACAGGAGATCAAGGCTGCAATGAGCCGAGATCGTACCACTGCACTCCAGCCTGGGAGACAGAGTGAGACCCTACCTCAAAAATAAAAATAAATAAATAAATAAAAATTCAGCAATGGGGTTGATGGATTCGAGGTTGAGAACCCCCAATGTGAACCCATTTGGAAAAAACTCAAACTGTGTTTCTTCCTCTGCTTCACACCAAAACCACAACAATCAACCCAGAAGACTTCTGTGGCCTCAAAATATGAGATTTCTCTCCATCAACAGCAAGGAATCAGTTCTGCAGCAGACACCAGCTGGGTGTCCACCAATTCGATTCTAACACTATACACCATGACATAGCGTCACCCCACAGGTTGAAGTCTCAGCCCCCAAAACTGCTCCCCTTTCAGACACCAGTCACAAGTCCCAGCCTCTAGAACTTCTGACTGACAGGTTCAATTCGGGGTTCCTACGACCCCCTCTTTGGGTTAGATTAATTTGCTAGAATAAAATGGCTCACGGACCCTCAGGGAAACACATTTACTGGCTGATTATAAGGATATTCCAAAGGATACAGATGAAGAGATGCCTACGGTGACGTATGTGGAAAGGGGCACAGACCTTCCATGCCCTCCCTGGGCACGACCCTCCAGGAACCTCCATGTATTAGGCTCTCTGGAAGCTCTCCAAATACACTCCTTTTGGGTTTGTAAGGAGGCTTCATTACGCAGGCATGATTGATTAAACCATTGGCCACTTGCCATCAACTTAATCCTCAGTTCCCTCCACTCCCCAGGGGTGGGAGGGTAGGGGCTGAAGTCCCAACCCTCTAATCCTGCCTTGGTCTTTCTGATGACCAGCCCCCATCCTGAAGCTATCGGTCAATTGCTGACATATAAAAACCCAAAGGCTGGGTGCGGTGGCTCATGCCTGTAATCCCAGCACTTTGGGAGGCCAAGGCAGGCAGATCACCTGAGGTTAGGAGTTGGAGACCAGACTGGCCTACATGGTGAAACCCTGTCTCTACTGAAAAAACAAATACAAAAATTAGCCAGCGTGGTGGCGCATTCCTGTAGTCCCAGCTACTCGGGAGGGTGAGGCAGAAGAACTGCTTGAACCCGGAAGGCAGAGGTTGCAGTGAGTGCAGATCGCGCCACTGCACTACAGCCTGGGTGACAGAGCTAGACTTCATCAAAAAAAAAAAAAAAAAAGAAAAGAAAAGAAAAGAAAAAAAAAAAAAAAGCCAGTACTTAGGAGATTCCAAGGATTTTAGGAGTTGTATGCGAGGAAATAGGGACAAAGACCAAATCTGTATTTGAGAAAATCACAGAACCGTATGAGCATTTAATTCAATACAGACATGGAAACTGGCCGAAGCATTTACTCACAGATGACTGGGCAAATCCCTGGTCCTACTGGTACAAACTATTGATCAAGCCCCCAATCTCATTCCTACCCTAAAATACAGCAAAGCAAAAGATCTTATTACCTATTTGGACTGAGATTAACACCATCCCATAAACTGCATGGCTTTCAATCCCAGGGCTACGGTGTGTGATGCCACATAGAATATGCACTAATCTCTCCAGCAATTGAGTTGTTAGGGTAAAGGCTCTTTTTGCCTTCTTTCTCTCACGGCCAAGAAAATTAAGGAACATGGACACAAAGGATGAGGTCGGAGCGGACGTTTAATAAGCAAAAGAAGAAAGCTCTGTCCAGCGGAGGGGACCCGAAAGAGGGCTGCCAACTAGGAGGCTGAATCTGGGGCTTTTATGAACTGGAAAGGGGAGGAATCTGCTGACTGGTCGGTCTGTGGGCTGTCTGGGAGAAAGCACTACTCAACTTGGCCCTGGAACCTTAGCCCAGGACCAATCAGGGGCTGAAGTGAAAGTTTGGCGCAGGACCAATCAGGGGCTGAAGTGAAAGTTTGGCGCAGGACCAATCAGGGGCTGAAGTGAAAGTTTGGCCCAGGACCAATCAGGGGCTGAAGTGAAAGCTTGGCTCGGAACCAATCAGGGACTGAAGTTATGATTCAAAGAGGCTGGGCTCAGTCTAAAGCATATCCAAAAAAGGAAGTGGCCGCCGGAACCTGTTAGTCCAAGCTGCACCATTTTGTAAGCCCCCACCATTTCACAGATCCTGGTCAGAGGGAAACATTCCATTGTGGTTTGGGCTGTGAAAAACATCCTTCCCAACCGCCTGACTTCCTTATCACATCCTGCTGGGCAAAGGCCCAAGAAACATCCTTATAAACATTCTCCCAGGCAACAAGCCATACCGCCCAGACCCCTCCTGCTCAGGCCTGTAGTTACCCCAGCCAGTGAGCGGCAGTGGGCTCTGGGATTTAGTTGGTCCCCGCCATAGAGCCGCCAACTCTCTCTTTCTTTAACCCTCACCTTCCCTTCAAAATCTAACACCCCACCGTGTACATGCCCACAAAAGAAGCGACTATTTCCTGGAAGCCCGCTGGTCACACAAAGGACAAAGGCGTTTCTATGTTGGGCCTCGGTCCCTTATCAGCGCAGCTGAGGAATGTCTTTAGAACAACCCCCTGTGCGAGTTTTCCTTATCTGTGCCTGCAGCCTGATTTTTCTGGCTGTTTCTCTGTTTAAAGGAGTTTTATCAAGGACCCACTCTAACTGCCTAACGGGTTTTTTTCTCTCAAGGGGACACACAAAGCCCCAATCGCACACACACCTCCCTATATCCACTTCCCCACTGCCTCACAGCCAATCGCACTTTCCTCTCTCACACACACCAAGGGGCCTCACACACACCAAGGGGTCTCTCACACACACCAAGGGGCCACACAAATTGCACCTGCACAGCCACAGACCTGCAACTCACGCACACACGGTACAGCACACACAGGTAAAGTCAAACACCCACCCCGGGACACGCAGTCCAACCACCCAGTCACCGGTTCTCCACATCCGCACGCGCCACAAGGCTCGTTCGGGACACACATCCACTCCGGGCGCGCACAGTCACAAGCGCCCACCTGATCACCCAGAGTCAGCACCACACAGCCACAGTCACAGACTACGAAGACCCGCGGCAACCATGGCGATCACACACGCAAAATCTTCTCCTCAGCCCTCCACACACAAAATGACCGGAGCCGGATTCCTCACCCTCAGCTTTCCGCGGCAGCTAATTCGGCACAGCAAACGGTCCCGCCACCTGGCTAAGAGGAAGCCGAAATCTCGCGAGACGTGGTGTTGGCCTGCGGGATCCTCTGGGAAATGTAGTCCAGAGCCCTACTGCGGGCTTCCCTACACCTCTCATCGCCAAGCCGGGCTTGTTTCCATTTACCGCTCCTCTGCACCGAGGATCGCAGAGCCCTCATGCCGAGCGGCTCGCTATGGGGCTGGCTCGCCCGCTAGACTGGCCAGGCCTGATTATCCCTGGCAGCTCTGTTATCTGGGGTACGACGCAGGAAAACATGCTTCCGGTTCTCGGCGGAAGGAGCTGCAAGCGGTAGAACCGATGGGAAATGTAGTCCGGGGCAGAGACACGGTCAACCCAGCCACGATGCGAGCCAAAGCATTCTTAGCTCCAAGCCTGGTCCTGGCTGTTAGTTTGGAACTCACATACCCAGATGCAAACTCGCCCTCAGAATGCAGAGGGGATGAAACACTGAGTGGACAGTTCAATCTGTATATGGGTGAGTCCAGGGCTTAGTCTGCATTGCGCTGAAAATGAAGGTGAAGGTGGAGATGGGACCTGATAGTCTCGTCCCGGATCGGGTTGAAGAAGCGGAAGGAAAGGAATCAAAATCGTGGATGGGATGAGATTGTGCGCGGATGCTCTCTGGGAGCGGTTCGTGGGCGACGAGGGCCCGAAGATGCTGCCTTGTGATCGCAGGTGTGAGTGGAAGCTGTGTGAGTGTCAACGTGGGTTGCCTGTTTGGGAGACCAGCATTGTATCTTTGTATCAGGTAGTCACCTTGGAGCCAGGTATTTGTAAAATTATGATAAAAGGGCATCATTCTGGAGCATCGATTTTATTTGGAGGTTGACAGGAGAGGGAAAAACAACCCTAATATGTGATAAACAACATAAATAGATTTTTATGTTAAAATAGTTATATTTATTCTGGGCTAGAATGCAAATCCAACATGCCTTTTAAAGCAAGAAAGAATATTTCTTTTTGTATATATACAAAGTCAAAGGTATTATTTTTATACACTTATTACGAAACATATAAATAGTAAACCAAGCCTAAGAATATAAAGAGTAGAGTCCAGCTTTAATTAATTGAATGTAAATTTAAAAAGAAGTATCTAATAAATAGTCCTTTTCACACATCGGAAAGCCAATTTCGGTATTTTTAAAAAAACTCAAATTACAAAGTAACAGATATCTAGTGTCTTAGCAACTTTAAGATCAGTACTAATCATTAAGCCAGCTTATATGCTAATATGATACATGAAAAAGCCTGTATTTTACAAATAGCAAACCACTAAAACTTTAACTTTCCACAGAAGCCATTGTTTTACACCAATAATTATGTTAAAGATCAAGTCAGGCTAAAAGTTTTTTTTTTTTTTTTGAGACGGAGTCTCGCTCTGTCGCCCAGGCTGGAGTGCAGTAGCGCGATCTCGGCTCGCTGCAAGCTCCGCCTCCCGAGTTCAGGCCATTCTCCTGCCTCAGCCGCCCGAGTACCGGGGACTACAGACGCCTGGAACAACGCCTGGCTAATTTTTTGTATTTTTAGTAGAGACGGGATTTCACCGTGTTAGCCAGGACGGTCTCGATCTCCTGACCTCGTGATCCGCCAGCCTTGGCCTCCCAAAGTGCTGGGATTACAGGCGTGAGCCACCGCGCCTGGCCCCAGGCTAAAAGTATTTAATGAGTATTGAATCCATTAAAACTTGGCAAATTTCTCCACGAAGGTAGAATTTTAATTTCTGTTTAAATAATGGATAGATGGTACACCCTTGTGAGGGTGTACTGTAAGTACTTCTAAGGAGCTTTATTAGACTGATCCTAAATTATGTACCTAGTAAAAGATGTACCAATGTCTACTTTGGAATAAGAAATTATTCCTTTTTTGAGCAAGGATTAAGCAGAAACTGAAAGTGTATTTTATAGCCTCTTACATAAAGTAGATGGGCACCCCTCACAAACAAACCAATATCCTGGCTTCTTAAATCTCAACATTAATCTAAGTAATGTATAGCATGCTCCTGTCCAATCGTTCCCGCTAATTTGTAGTCTTCTCAGATCGATGCTTCATTTTAGTCACACATTTCTATCCTGCAAGACTGGGTATCTGGGTTTTTTGCCTGGTTTTATAACACTAGGCAGGTTTGGCCTTACTCAAAATGTAAGATTGCAAAAGGCCTATGTTTTACCTCAACGATACCGCTTCAGGAAATGGTCTGTATTTCCAGCAGAAAAGTGGTATCTAACTCTCATGATGGTTTCTAGCAACTGGATAGATACCTGGGTCTTTGCGGCCCGTGATGCAGCCTAACAATAGAGCACCTTGTGTGGTCAGCTAGGTCTGCTAAATCAACGGAACATCCATGTTTCAGATTTATTTTTTATTTTTATGTTTGTTTGTTTGTTTTTGAGACGGAGTCTCGCTCTCTTTTCCATACAAGGGGTGGCCTCTGCGAAGTTAACTGCTTTGTAGGGTGGGAAGAAGATTGCCTTTCCTTTGATCTGCATGTTTTAAGGGAAATGCCACATACACCTACAGGAGCTTATCTTTTTTTTTTTTTTTTTTTTTTTTTGAGACGGAGTCTCGCTCTGTCGCCCAGGCTGGAGTGCAGTGGCCGGATCTCAGCTCACTGCAAGCTCCGCCTCCCGGGTTTACGCCATTCTCCTGCCTCAGCCTACCGAGTAGCTGGGACTACAGGCGCCCGCCACCTCGCCCGGCTAGTTTTTTGTATTTTTTAGTAGAGACGGGGTTTCACCGTGTTAGCCAGGATGGTCTCGATCTCCTGACCTCGTGATCCGCCCGTCTCGGCCTCCGAAAGTGCTGGGATTACAGGCTTGAGCCACCGCGCCCGGCCGGGTTTTTTTTGTTTTTTTTTTTTGACACGGAGTCTCGCTCAGTCGCCCAGGCTGGAGTGCAGTGGCCCAATCTCGGCTCACTGCAAGCTCCGCCTCCCGGGTTCATGCCATTCTCCTGCCTCAGCCTCCCGAGTAGCTGGGACTACAGCCGCCCGCCACCACGCCCGGCTCATTTTGTTTTGCATTTTTTAGTAGAGACGGGGTTTCACAGTGTTAGCCAGGATGGCCTCGATCTCCTGACCTCGTGATCCGTCCGCCTCGGCCTCCCAAAGTGCTGGGATTACAGGCGTGAGCCACCGCGCCGGGCCAGGAGCTTATCAATAATAGACAAGGCTCACTTTCAAAGTCTTTCAGGAGATAAACTGGAGGGGAAGACGAACGGCAGGAGGGTGAAGAGGAAGCTGAATGACCGTGCAAACACCCCCAACTCAAATACGGGTGGTTACCGCAGAGTGAATAACGATAGGTACGATTTCGTGGAAGGCAACGTCCTTTGAAAGGGCTCCCAGAGCTTCAAGGCCCCCTCCCCTGATGAACGAGTAAGTCAGGCAGGCCCAGCTCCACTTCACGGATGGCAAAACTGAGGTACGAGGGGGCGAGATGACTGGCCCGAGGCCTCGCTGAAAGATCGGAGGCGGAGCGGAGAACCAGAAGCACCGCTTCCCTCAGGCTGATGCTCTAATCTCGGCTCCCCCCGCCCCTACGTTGGCGTAGACGGCCTCCGCCCCCCGACTCACACACACACCCTCCCCCGGGAACGGCAAGTCTCCTCGGGTTCCAAGGACGCGGTCAAACGACCAGAGGCCCCAGGCGCTCTCGCGGTGATTTGCGCAGAGCGTTGGGAGCGTGCGTGCCTCCAGTCCAACATGGCGGCGGCAGAGGCCGGCCCAGCGCTCCAGACTTCCTTCGGGGCCGGAGGCTTCTCCTCAGGGTCCTCGGGTACGTGGGAAGACAGTGCAGCCCCGCCAGGCCTTTCTTGTCGCTGCCGCTGCTCACTGAAGGAGTCACCTACCCGACAAGACTAACGGCTGTGGCTGCGGCGCGGAGGCCCCACAGCCCGCCGAGAACCAGGAATACGAGAGCCAGGCGGCGCCGCGGCCGGAGCTGTACTGAGCAAGAAAGAAGATTTCAAAGTAATTTATTGTTATGAGATCCGTGCTTTTATCTTGTCTCAGACTCCCAATGATAGGCACATACTCTCCTCTGTACATTTAATGAAACTACTAAAATGTTTCGATTTAAATCTTCCACCTATTTGTTTTCTGTGTATCCTACCTGTTCACGACCTTGACATTTTCAAAGAATACAGGTTACTTATTTTGTTTTTGGTGATGGTGAGTTTTCGGGGGTTTTGTTTTTTGGTTTTAGTTTTGGAGACAGGGCTTTGCTCTATCGCCCAGGCTGGAATACAATGGCGCGATGATAGCTCACTGCAGCCTCGAACTCCTGAGCTCAAGGGACCCTCTTGCTTCAGCCTCCTGAGTAGCTGGGACTACAGGCCTGCGCCATCACGCCTGGCTAATTTTTTATTTTTTGTAGAGATGGGGTGTTGCTATGTTGCCCAGTGTGGTCTCAAACTCTTGGGCTCAAGAGATCCACCCACTTCTGCTGCCCCAAGTGCTAGGAGTACAGGCACGAGCCACCGCGCCGGGACAGTTATTTTGTAGAGTGTTCTTTAATTTGGATGTACCTCATCTTTTATACATCTTTGGAAGGAATACCATATAATTAATGCGGTTTATCCCATCAGGAGACACACAGTGTCAATGTGTTCCATTTTTGATGATGTTAACTTTTATTACTTAGTGAAGATAATTCTAAGAGTTTTCACCACTGTAGGGTGAATAAATTAGCATTTGGGATTCATCAATGAATAAGTAAAAAGAAGCCAGCTGGCGAAAGAACTGAGTTGGGAGGATGGCTTGAGCCTGGGAGGTCGAGGTTGCAGTGAGCTGTGATGGCACCACTGCATTCCAGCCTGGGTGACACCACAAGACCCTGTCTCAAAAAAAATTAAATAAATAAATAGATACCCAGCACCTGATCATCTCGGGAATTTCCTGTGCCTCTTTCTTATATTGGGTCACTGGTTTCTTGGAGCTTATGTCTTTTTTTTTTTTTTTTTTTTTCTTGGTTTAGCTTCTCATTTTTGTAAAAAGCACATTCTTATTTTGTTTACTTTGATAAAAGTGAATTTGGGATAAAAGTCTGGGATCCTTATAAGCTTGACAGTGTCTGTATTCTACCTTTTTTGGTTGATAACTAGGTTTGAAATTTTAGGTTGAATGTGGTTTTCACTTAGAATTTTGAATTATATAACACTGCCTGCTAGCTAACAGTGTTTATCTTAAAATATGATTACAATTTGATTTGTGTTGTGTTACTGTTCTTTGTCTTTTAAAGCATTTAGCCGGCCGCGGTGGCTCAAGCCTGTAATCCCAGCACTTTGGGAGGCCGAGACGGGCGGATCACGAGGTCAGGAGATCGAGACCATCCTGGCTAACACGGTGAAACCCCGTCTCTACTACAAAATATAAAAAAACTAGCCGGGCGAGGTGGCGGGCGCCTGTAGTCCCAGCTACTCGGGAGGCTGAGGCAGGAGAATGGGGTGAACCCAGGAGGCGGAGCTTGCAGTGAGCTGAGATCCGTCCACTGCACTCCAGCCTGGGCGACAGAGCGAGACTCCGTCTCAAAAAAAAAAAAAAAAAAAAAAAAAAAAAAGCATTTAAAGGCCAGGCTCAGTGACTCATGCCTGTAAATCCCAGAACTTTGGGAGTCCGAGGCAGGAGGATTGCTTGAGTTCAGGAGTTCAAAACCGGCCTGGACAACATAAGGAGACTGTTTTTATAAAAGTAAAAATAGACCGGGCGTGGTGGCTCACACCTGTAATCCCAGCACTTTCGGAGGTCGAGGTGGGCAGATCACCTGAAGTCAAGAGTTTGAGACCAGCCTGGCCAACATGGTGAAACCCCATCTCTACTAAAAATACAAAATATTAGTTGGGTGAGGTGGCATGCACCTGTAGTCCCAGCTACTCAGGAGGCTGAGGTAGGAGAATCTCTTGAACCCAGGAGCCATGGTTGCAGTTGAGCCAAGATCACGCCACTGGACTCCAGCCTGGTTGACAGAGTGAGACCCTGCCTCAATAATAATAATAATAATTACAAAAACATTTAAAATTGTCTCTTCATACTAGTTTTCTGAAATTTCACAGAAATGTATTTTAGTGTGGTTCTTGTTTCTTTCATTGTACAAGGTGCTTAGTGGACCTTTGTATTAATATTTTGAAGACTCATGATCTGTTTCTAGAAATTGCCTTTTGTTTGTTCTGTGAAGGTTTCTTCCATTCATTTTTCTCTCTTTCTTTCTGAAATGCCTTTTAGTTGGATGTTGTAATTTCTCACTTCATCTGGTAGTTTTGTTATCTTTCATCACTTTTTTTCTTTTTTTTGAGATGGAGTCTCTTCTGTTGCCAGGCTGGAGTACTGTGGCGCGATCTCGGCTCACTGCAACCTCCGACTTCTTGGTTCAAGCAATTCTCCTGCCTTAGCCTCCTGAGTAGCTGGGATTATAGGCACCCGCCACCACGCCTGGCTAATTTTTGTATTTTTAGTAGAGATGGAGTTTCACCATGTTAGCCAAGTTGGTCTCAATCGCTTGACCTCGTGATCCATCCGCCTCAGCCTCCCAAAGTGCTGGGATTACAGGTGTGAGCCACTGCTCTCAGCCATGCATTGTCTCTTTTCTCATTATTTATAGCATTGTTTTGCAGCAGACTTGTTGGAGTCACACATTTGTTACTATCCAATTATTATTGTTGTTATTTGGGACAGCCTTTTGCTCTGTCGCCCAGGCTGGAGTGCAATGCTGCATTCCTAGCTCACTGCAGCCTCAACCTCCTGGGCTCAAGTGATTCTCCCACCTCAGCCTCTCAAGTAGCTAGGACCACAGGTATGTGCCACCACACCTAGCTAATTTTCTTATTTTTTATAGAGATGGGATTTCACCGTCTCCAGGTTGGTGTCAAACTCCTAGGCTCAAGCTATCTGACTGCATCAGCCTCCTAAAGTGCTGGGATTACAGGTGTGAGCCACTGTACCCAGCCCAACTATCATCATATTTATTATTATTATTTGAGACGGAGTCTCACTCTGTCACCCAGGCCGGAGTGCAGTGGTATGATCTCAGCTCACTGCAGCCTCCACCCCCCGGGTTCAAGCGATTCTCCTGACTCAGGCTCCCGAGTAGCTGGGATTACAGGTGCCTGCCACCGTGCCCAGCTAATTTTTGTATTTTTAGTAGAGATGGGGTTTCACAATCTTGGCCAGGCTGGTGTTGAACTCCTGACCTTGTGATCCACCCGCCTCGGCTTCCCAACGTGCTGGGATTACAGGTGTGAGCCACCGCGCCTGGCCACTATCTTATTATTAAATAATGTTATGGCCGGGCGCGGTGGCTCACGCCTGTAATCCCAGCACTTTGGGAGGCCGAGGCGGGCGGATCACAAGGTCAGGAGATCGAGACCACGGTGAAACCCCGTCTCTACTAAAAATACAAAAAATTAGCCGGGCGCGGTTGTGGGCGCCTGTAGTCCCAGCTACTCGGGAGGCTGAGGCAGGAGAATGGCGTGAACCCGGGAGGCGGAGCTTGCAGTGAGCCGAGATCGCGCCACTGCACTCCAGCCTGGGCCACAGAGCGAGACTCCGTCTCAAAAAAAAAAAAAAAAAAAAAAAATAATGTTACATGCAGTGTCTTTGGGGAGAGAAGTCAGTTTTCGGAGACAGACTGCTCATTTCCTGATTTGTTCATTTTAATTCAAATAGTAAAAGCTTTAGAAAGGCAGGAGGATTGCTTGACTCCAGGAGTTCAAGACCAGCCTGGGTAACAAAGCAAGACCCCATCTCTACAAAAAATACTTTTTTTTTTTTTTTTGAGACTGAGTCTGGCTCTGTCGCCCAGGCTGGAGTGCAGTGGCCGAATCTCAGCTCACTGCAAGCTCCGCCTCCCGGGTTTACGCCATTCTCCTGCCTCAGCCTCCGGAGTAGCTGGGACCACAGGCGCCCACCACCTCGCCCGGCTAGTTTTTTGTATTTTTTAGTAGAGACGGGGTGGGTTTCACCGTGTTAGCCAGGATGGTCTCGATCTCCTGACCTTGTGATCCGCCCGTCTCAGCCTCCCAAAGTGCTGGGATTACAGGCTTGAGCCACCGTGCCCGGCTAAAAAATACTTTTTAAATTAGCCAGGCCTTGTAGTATGTACCTTTAGTCTCGGCTACTGGGAAAGCTGAGTTGCGGGGATCTCTTGGGGCCAGGAGTTGAAGGCCACGGTGAGCTATGATTGCACCACTTCACTCCATCCTGTGTAACAGAGTGAGACTCTGCCTCAATCAATCAGTAAAGATACTTATCAAAAGTAAGTAGACATGCAGGCAGATCACCTGAGGTCAGGAGTTCAAGACCATCCTGTCCAGCATAGTGAAACCCTGCCTCTACTAAAAATACAAAAATTAGCCGGGCGTGGTTGTGGCCGCCTGTAATCTCAGCTGCTCGGGAGTCTGGGGCAGGAGAATCACTTGAACCTGGAAGACAGAGGTTGCAGTGAGCTGAGAGCGCGCCACTGCACTCCAGCCCGGGTGACAGAGCAAAACTCCATCTCAAAAAGAAAAGTAAGCAGACATGCCTGCTGCCTACATGAGGTTTACATTCTAGTCTGGGAGGAAAAAAAAAGATTTTAAAGTAAAAGAGAAAATGAGGTAATTTTATATTGTGATCAATACTGTGAAATAAATCAATAGGTGGTATAAGCAGTAACTTGAGGGATACTTCCCGTAGCATTGGTAGGACAGATGTTGAGCTTTGGTCAGCAGTGTGGAAGGGTATTCCAAGCAGAGGCACAGTTACACTAAAGACCCTGAAAAATCAGAGAGCACTTAGAGCATTCCAGAAACAGAAAGCAGCCTGGTGTGACTGAAGCTTAGCAAGTGAGTAGAAAATTAGTTTAGATTTAGGATGTAGAAGTCGGCATTTTCCATATCATATGAGGAAATGATAGTGCTGAGATTACAGGTGTGAGCCACTGCACCCAGTCCCACACCAGGTTTTTACAGCGGCAAGAATAGATGTTCTGCTACGGTCAGTGTCTAAGTATTTTACAAACAATATCTCTTCTTCTAGTTTGCAGTCATTATTGAAATAACAAACATGTCCTATTGTCAGGCCTTACTGTCAGTAACTGGTTTCATTAATCTGAGTAGGAAACTTACTTGATTTATCAGCTACTCTTTGGTATTACCTGACATCTCATTAATGCATCTTTGAATTGAATTATTGCTCAGTAGGAGTGATCATTAAATAGTGGCAATGTGATACATCACTACTGAAGTTATGGTCTCACATGTGGGTCCTATGTCAGTTTCAGCAACTATATAAGCACTACAGGGTTTTACAATGATTTCTGCAATTTTTTTTTTTTTTTTTCTGAGACAGAGTCTTGCTCTGTCAGTCAGGCTGGAGTGCAGTGGCATGATCTCAGCTCACTGCAACCTCCATCTCCCGGGTTGAAGTGATTCTCCTTGCCTCAGCCTCCAGAGTAGCTGGGATTACAGATGTGTGCCACCATGCCTGGCTAATTTTTGTATTTTTAGTAGAGGTGGGGTTTCCGCATGTTGGCCAGGCTGGTCTTGAACTCCTGACCTCAGGTGACCTGCCTGCCTCAGCCTCCCAGCCGATTTCTGCAATTTTATAAGGCAATAATTTCATCATAATTTGTTTGCTTATCCTTTTTTTTTTTTTTTTTTTTTCTGAGACCGAGTGTCACTCTATCATCCAGGCTGGAGTGTGGTGCTGCAGTCTTGGCTCACTGCAACCTCCGCCTCTCAGGTTCAAGTGAGTCTTCTGCCTCAGCCTCCCGAGTACCTGGAATTACAGGTGCACACACCATGCCCAGCTAGTTTTTGTGTTTTTAGTAGAAACAAAGTTTCACCATATTGCCCAGGCTGGTCTCCAACTCCTGGGCTCAAGGGATCCACCCACCTCAGCCTCCCAAAGTGCTGGGATTAAAGGTGTGAGCCACCTCACCTGGCCACTTGTCCTTCTTAAATAAGGAAGTAGCAGTGTTACAGTTCAAAATTCTGTTTTAAACTTTTTAAATATTCTGCTTTTCGACTTTATCAGGATGTTTCTTTTTCCAATGATCCACAAATCTTAATGGTTTCATAGCCC